TATTTTTATTTTCTTTCTCTCATTAAGTTGTTTAATATATTTTATAATTTAAATATTTTAAATTTATTTAATAAATATAGATAAGTTAATATTTTGTATGAATTTAATAATTGTAATTTTGGACAAACATATAAATATTTTAATATTTTTAAATAATTAAGTTATTTTTTTCTGTAATAAATATAAATATTTGAATAACTTTGATTATTGAATTTTTATAACAAATAGTATATGTTTAAATTGGTAGAAAATTATTTTTTTATAAATATCATTAAGAATGATTAATATTAATTTAAAATAATGTTAAATTTAAATTAACAATGTAGAATTGTAATTAATTTAAGTATTTGCTGTTAGCAATAATATCTTTTAAATAAATAAATAAAATATAAAGAATAATATATATTTTAATAATTAAATTACATTTTAAAAATATAGAAAATTTAATATTATAATTTAGTAAATTATTTGTTAAAATTATAAATATGTATACTTTTTTTTTATTTCCTTTAGTTTGAGACATAGGAAATAAAATTATACTTTAATTGAGATGAATAATTTTAAAATATTTATCCCAACAAAATAGGAGATCCAATATATTCACCACAACTACAAATCTTACATAGATCAGGTACACACATTAGAATATGTTTCAAATGTGTATAACGAATTATTTGGTAAATTACTCAACGAATATTATTGATCAAATTATGAAGAACCACAAATCATACCAAATTCAAAAAATATTAAAAATAAAAAGGTCGTTCAAAGTCATCCGGAATACACACTGAAATGGATATGGTTGAACTAGGGTAACAAAAAAAATGTTCTCTGTGTAGGAATGTAGGTCACTCCAAGAAAAAATGTCCTTACCGTCAAGGGAGTTCAAGTCAACAAGCTTAAATTGATAATTTTTCATGGCCTACATCTAAATTTTAATTGATTTTGTTGTGTGTTTCACAAGTATCATGTTTGTAATTTTAATTTGTCTTTTCATTCCAAAAATTTTATACTTTTGTTTTTACCATTTTCTAATATTTAATAAAATAATATTATCATTTATTTAATAACAAATGTAATTATCTATAATTATTAATACAAAATAAATATATTAAATAAATTATACATATTTACACATATAACAAATTAATTATTAAATTACCTTATTTAATTTTTTATATTTTATAAATTTAATTTAAATAATAAAATCAATTTTAAAAAATTAAATATAATTAAATATTGAATTTTAAAATTTATACATATTTAATAAAATAATTAAACTAAATATATATTTTTCGTATATAATATATTAATCTATGAAGTTTAATTTTTTTACTTTTAACTAAATTAATTGTTAATATATATATATATATATATAACTAAAACAGTTTAATTATTTTATTAATTAAAAATATT